GAAAAATGCAAGAGTATTAAGTCAGTGCAAAAACCACACAGACCAAGCTGCACTAGTCAGTGTTTTGTTACAGATACACAGAGATTCTCATCAGCACATCTGATCGAGTCATACTTAATGGTTTCAATATCTGCTCACCCTCACCTGACGTGATTTTGGGTACACACCTTTCCACTTTTGCAAACAGTCTTTCTTAAAAACCCTGAGATGAGCTGAGTTGGTTAGAGCATGGTGCTACTAATACCAAGGTTGTGGATTTGATCCCTGTATGGGCCATTCACTGAAGAGTTGAACTTGATGATCCTTATGGCTGCTTCCAACTCTGAATATTCTGTGATTTTGTGAAAAACTCACTGCCCAGAAAGTCAAATAGTGATCAAAATAAGTCGTCATGGACAAAAGAGAGACTGAGGGAGAGGCTTACTTTTGCAGCTTTGGAGTAAGGCGAAACATGATAATCACTATCCCTACTGACAGCAAAGATCATTTAACTCGGCTAAAGACTGAACCACAAGTGAACAACAAGCAGAGATGCCACTGATGACATCTTAACATTATGTAAGATGACTTGAGACTGTTCCTTCTGTATCACCACCCACTGCTGCACTGCTCCATGCTCAAGCACAGATCATTAAGTGTCGAGCTACGTTTGTTCCACCACAATATGATGTCACAACACGATGGCATCCTGCTCTTGACCTGCATTCCTCTGCTGCTCTGGTGTAGAAACCTCTTATTTGTGAGTGAATGCCATCTTGCTTTCATACTTGTTACCATCAGGAGAGTATTTCCAACTCAGGTAGACAATTTTCTCATTCTGATAAATTCTGAGGTGGATCCATAAAACAGCTTTACTGATTCAGGGATACAGCTATGAAAAACCAACCTCATGTGTGTCTGTAAGGAAAGAGAGCTTTATGACTAGAGGATACCAATGCCTCACACATTCCTGCAGAAATAAATTAATCCTTATTCACTTAACATTAATTATTTTGTGCCTGATGAACTTAGCAGATATCGTTACTGTTGAAATGTCTAGAGCAAATTCGAAAGTTGGTGTCCTTGCAATTAACTGATCAGCCACGGCATGAACTGAAAGCTCTTGATAATCACAGACCACTGTCCTTTTCAGACAGTTTATGGAAATGCATTCTAGAGAAACAAGGACTTACCTCCACAGAGCCTAGGGAGACAAGGGTAACCATGGAAATCCTACAGCCCCAAAACTCTAGCAAAAACAGTGAGGCCTTCTCTAAGGGGTGTTTATCTGACATTTGCCATTTTGGAGGACACAAGAAGGCACATCAGGCAGGCCTCCTGCACCAAGGCAAAGGAATCATCTGTGACCTCTAAGAAGAGTAATTTTTGTCACATGGAGTTCCTGTACATACAGGAACACTTCCAGTGACCAAACATATCTGGCACGTACTGGAGATTGGAACTGGGACAGAGAACAATAACAAAAACCCTGCAGCTGTCTTGACGTCATGTGTTTGGATTGCACAAGTCATCGATAGCATTCTTCTGCTATTCTACAAAAAAGCCTTTTCAGTCACTGATGGCCTTCCACCTCTTATCAAGGGGCATCATGCCTCCAGACACATCCCAAGCCTGAATGCTCCCATGCACTCTTTGTTCTGGCTTTGGGGAACATAAGTATATATGTATTTATGTTTAAGTCTACATATATAAGTACCTGTGTTAACAGGCAAAACATACCACTGCACTGCACACCTTGTCCAGCAGATCAGATTTTACTACCACGTTCACCAAGCAAACATCTCATCAGTTACATATAAATGCCATGACTGTAGAATAGGCAAGGAGTTTGTGTGCTTTGACTGCTTAAAGGGAAAACCAGAGCTTTTGGAACAGGCACGAAGCAGAGGCGTAAAAAACTGCGTAACATTCATGTAAGAAACAAAACAGAGCTTCAGGTTTCACTTGAGGCTTTCCACTGGCTTCTGGAGCCATATTAGTTACATCTTTATCAAATGCTCTAGGAAAAAAGTTGCTACAGAGATAAAGAGTATGTCACAGATGTCTTTTTCCTTAACGTAAATAGTCATTAATATACTGGAGATGGCCAATTTACAATAGCCTGACCCCAAAAGTCACACCCATGCACTGACTTGCTTTCTTCAAATCTGTGTGAGATGAAGTTATTCAAAGCCTCCCCAGAAAAGCCTTAAGAAACAGGTGTATTTCACACTTTTAACTGCTCTCTAAGAATTTACAGGGAAATAACCAGATAATATTTCCATTACATGCTCTATTTATATCTTATTGAAAGAGAAGCTAATTTTATGACTAAAATTCAGTTTTCAGTGAATACAGCTTTAGCACAGATGCTTTAATGCTGCTAAAATCCACAGTAAATGCATCCTTAGCTACTATTGCCTTTAACCAAATGGATCTGTGGTTTGCCAAATCTGTACAGGCAAAATGCAGGGTGTCCTTACAATTCACTTAAGTTCCTAGATATCAAACTGAACATTCACTCTGAACCAGCACTTCTAGCTCTTCAAAGCATTTACTGAATTCTGCAAACTAGACAGTGGCAATTTTCTCAGCTCCTCTGAGCGACTAAAGCTCATTCAAAAATTAGCAGTGATGTGAACAAGCAGCACAAGAGCCCTCCTGGACATATTCTTTTTAGTGAGTGGAAATTGGAGATTTTTATCCAAGAGGCTTTAGCATAAAGAGGCATCATGATCATCATAAAAATGGTTTATTGGAGCTCCAACCAGTGCTAAAGGGTAAAGAGCACAGAAACAACAGCAGTGTCTTCTGCCCATCTGAATATATCTGTCAAGAGGAAAACCAAAACGGGTTCCAGGGAATAACAATAACTTGAAGGAGCTGCTTTACAAAATCATTTATGGCAGCTATGAGAAGCATCTAGGGGTCAGAAGACTGCACTAGCCAGCACCAGCAAATCAGCAGGAATCACATTCAACCAGCTGAAGAACTGCAGACTAATAGCCTCTAGTTGACTCAGCAGTGTACTGGTTAAACACCTTAAAATGGAAAAATTGTTTCAAAGGCTCCACAGGTCAGCAGAGTAAGAAGAGCATAATCCTATTAACCATACAGATACCAGACTGGTGGTGGAACAACTTCACAAGAGAATTCACATGTTTGGACTCAGCTTCCTTTTTAAAATCCAAAATCTTGTTTGAAATGTTAAGGATTGTTGCATTGGGCCGTGGTCTGGGATGGACAACTATCCCAAGTTCTTTTCTTGGAAACTGCTAGAGAGTGAAAGGAAATTCTCTGAAATTTGACATCAAGTTCTACAATTCCTCAAAATCTTTACTTTGATCATCCATTTCCTGCTGTCAAGTCACCCGTTCTATACCACTTAAGAGAAGGAAACTGCCTGTATTTGAATAAACTGGGTTGGCAACTACTCAATGAGAAGAACAGGCCAGGCCAAATTTCTTCAGTTCTGGCTTCACGTCCAAGGATACATCTGTTTCTTTTCTCCTTCAAAGCCTATATCATTTCAATCCCTATTTTAACCTGTGCAGAATTCAAGAAAATCAAGCTCAGCGTGTCTCAGAAGTGTAAAAGCCTTCTGTTCATTTGAACAGTAAGTCTCTCTACCTTGTCTCTGCTCCAGGAGTATCAACAGCAAAGGAAAGCAGCCAGGACAGCAGGGAAGTACTAAGAACGCCTTTCATGATATTTTTTTATCATTCCATCAACCTACCACTAAAATAAATTCTGAAACAAGGAGATGCAGTTCTATTTAAGGGTACTTGATAGATATTTCATCTACAGATTTCCCCTGCTTGCTCTCTGAACCCACATAAACACTGTGGTAAGCAGTTCAAGGGTTTCTAAAAATTCTAAGTAAAACTTGACACAGCTGTCAAACGGGACGTAGGATACAAAGTACTGTTGCAGTATGTGATATTTATGTGGTATTTATGAAAAAGCAAACATAGGAAAGCAAAAGGCATTGGTGGATGCTTTGAAAAGGGAATGCATGGGCCTATGTCTCAGCCCCTTTGGCAGGAAGAAACTCATTAGTGACACAGGGCCATGCTTGGAGTGGTTAAATGTCCTGCAAACAATTAGGCTCCAGCTCAGTTGCAGTGAGATTCCTTGCATGCTTAAAGCAAAGGCAGTGTGTAAATGTTTGAAGAATGCCCCTTTGCTAACTGTAAGAGCACTGGGTACTTGTTATTGCCTAGGACAACCTGGGAACTCTCAAAGAGATGCTACATTCCTATTCACAGAGGTATTCAGGAGAATTTGGATCCCATAGCACAGTAGACAGCTTCAAAGGAAGAAGATCAAGGGAACAGACCTATTAATGAAATGCTAGAATTCACATCTTTTGCTCTTCCACTTCAGAGCCTGTCACCCGAGCCTCTTCCAGCCTCAAAAGCCTCTGACAATACATAGCTCTGTTTCAGAAACTCAGAACCCTGGAAATGAATACAGTTTCCAAATATTGTCCTAAAAAATATTCTGCAGTTTTTCTTCCTCTAGACATAATGATGGAGCAAAGAAGAAAAGAAATTTTAAAAGCATTATTTGGGGCTTTTCTAAGTGCATTCCCTTGTCTAGGATTAGAAAATAATGACTTTTGCTTTGCTGCAGAGCAATTACAGAAATACTTCTGTTTACCTAGAACCTTTTATCCTGAGAGATCCAAGGAGCATTTATGAAACATAAGCCAGAATTTTTAGCTCAGGAATGTGTTTAACTGCAAATAAACACTTTCTGGGCTTGCTCAATTCAAACATTTACACTTAAGTGCATCCAGCTACGTGTTCCATTTCATCTCCTTTTGAACAAACAAATAAGAAAACATCCGATTTGCAAAACTGATTTGTAGAAATAAAGTTCATGCACATTTGAGGAAATACTGAAAAAAAAATTACACTATGAAAAAACTCACTCTGGTAAAATTACAAATTCAAGTGTTGTCCTGTTTCAGATTCCATCATAACTACATTTAATTATACCTGTGCACACCAATTTACCTTCATTTTCTCTGAAATAGTTTTATGCCGAAGTATAAGAGTATCTCCCAGGCAACTCACTTGGGGGAGTGGTGACAACTGCTGTTTAATCAGTACAGCAATTAACTTAAGTTCTGCTTAATGGCTGAACATTCAACCGATGGCATGGACTGGAGTGATGTTTAACTCCAGGGATGCAGCAAAAGCAAAAGTTTAAATCGCAATCTTGTTTCAGAAGAAGAAAGTCTGATGAAGGTTAAATAAAATAGAAACGTTAAATAAAAGAAGTATCAGATATCAACAAAATTTCAGTAAAGCTCATTTTCAGGATATTTTTTTTTAAATAAGTGCGGTCCTCTTGGCCAAACACAGTAACACAATTCCCAAAGCGAGCTTCCTAAGGGAGAGCTGAGGGTGGGAGGGAGAAGGAATCTTGCACTACAAAACTGTTTTACATCCGGTGGCTGAAAGAGCTTTCTGCAGCCACACTGCTCCAGAGAGCTTGGGGCACAACCAGGAAAAACCTTCCAAATGCTTCCAGATGCACTGTGAATAACTAAAGCCAAAAACCCACCGAGCCATCTACCTGATTCGTGAGCAACTGAGTCTCCTGGAGAGGTCAAGAACTGGCTGTGGGCTGGGGAATGCAATTCTCCAACCCTTCTGGGTAGTACTGGGATTTCTTATCCAAGCTGTGAATCACAATATAACTGTTGCAGATGAGGTGGGGAAGGGCAGTAGCCCTAAAAGCCTTATGGCCCTTGTTAAACTCTGCAAAAGAAAGGCAGAGAGCCAACCAGGCGTTTAACATCCGGCAGTGGACATTGAAATTCTGATTTGGGGCTTGATAGCTTGGCCAGAAACCCAAAATCGGGCCTTTTGAGTGTGATGAGAATCCAAGCTGTACTGTCTCGTTCTTACATTTTCTTGAATAAGGCTTGAATAACTGCTGTCCTACAATTAAAAGTGAAATCAGACCCTCTTTCTTAATGTAAACTACATTGTTATTAATATTATCCTTTGCATGAAAAATACCTAGATAAAGGATGCTATTCATTCTAACAAAAACTAAGGAGCTCTTAGTAGTCACAATATAGTACTGGAGTTGAACTCTCAAGTGAACTATTTTTATCTATTCTGTGATATCTGGTGTTATCTGATCTTTAGAATATTAATCACTGCAACAAAGTAATGCTAAACCTCTGCTATTCAGAGGACAGGGCAGAAGATACAACTCAATTTACTTTAAGTGGACATAATTCACTAATTTTTAGAATCATATTAATAGCTCCCCATGTTATGACTATGCCATATATAAAGTTCATTAACTTTACCACCTTCCTTTCTTTTGTGTGATTTTTCAAGCCTTTCTCCTGAATGAAAAGTGAGGATCAAACCAATCTGTATCCTCTGAAAACAAACGCACTCAAGTCCAGAGCAGACGTTAAAGTGCCTGCTGCATGTAAAAAGCATGCAAGGTACAAGTAAACTGGAGGGGGGAAGTTGGTGCATTAGTAATGGGCCTGCAGCATTCTTCTCTTTTCTTTCCAGTCAAAAATACCTTGTGAAAACACTGAGCTGCTAAAAAAAAATCTGATTATATGATACCAGCTGTCTTAGTACCACGTTCAAAATAACAGAAGAAGCCTTCCCCAAGTGCCACGGAACAAATCCAAGAGTATTTAAGTTTTAATCAGCGGGGTTGCTTTAATGCAAAGCTTCACACACAGACACACGCACTGCTCTTCTGCTACATCACCACCCACATATTGTACTCTTCAGAAGTATGTGCTCACCATTAAACAGACAGCTTTCCGCTTTCCTAATCCGCTTTGACTTCTCAAAGTGGATCTGGCCACACATGAAGTCACTCTGACCCATCAGTTTACATTCAACCCTTCGCTTACACCTCTTTCACTGAGGACAGTGCTTGCAGGATGCAACCACATGTAATATAAATACAGGGGTAGCAGAGCCCAGGGGCTCCTTCTGGAGAGACACTCTTCTCCATGGAGGCTGTGGACATCGCCCTTTACTCTGACCACTTTGTCCTTCTGCCACCAGATCATCCAAAGGCAAAGCTGGGTCGCACCTCTGCCGTTCCCACAGGTGATCCCAGGGCTGAAACCTTGCTGGTGAGGGCTGCTGCTGCAGAAAACCATCTCAACTTGAAGCTTCTCAGAGAGGGCAGGGTGTAGTTACACCAATCAAGAAGTTCAAGGCAGAGGAGGGGGAATGTTCCAGCTTTCAGTATAAACACAAGGCGCTCTACTCAGCCAAGCTGAAGTTTTTTTGTCTCCTTTGTAAAGCTCACAGAGGTGTTCCACATGACGGAACAGAACAACAGGGTTGTTTAGCACCCCAGGCAAAGAGCAAATGTTTATTAACTGAGAGAAAATATTCCTGCTCAGACATGGCCTGGCACGCACAGCTCTGATGAAAAGTCTCTCCAGCCATCTACATTAATCAGACTAAGCTCTTCCTTAAGACTAAAAGAAGCATCTGCTCCGCATTTTCATCATAGGTTTTACTCTCTCTTTTTTTTTTTTTTTAATATACAAGTTTTTCCATTTTAGCTTTAGTTAATCCATCGTTCCTACCTGTAGTAATTTTCTGGGTACATCATGGATTCAAAGTAAAAAGAGTCTGTTCAAAAGTGTCCTCAAAATTTCGTACGTAAACTTCCATCCCTTCTTCCATCTCTTAAGAGACTTGAAAATATACTAATTTATTTTAAATGCTGCAAGAAAACATGTATGTTAAGCAAATCTGAAATGAGTTTAACATCCCAAAGCTTTAGCAATGTGCAAGTAAAGTAGAATGGATGTTAGGTGTCTGTGCAAAAGGAGCACAGATTTCAGAAGCAGAATCTGTTGCAGAAACTGAGTACAGAAACTGTTAAAAAACTCTCCTATAGTGAACGGTCAAAGTTGTATTTTCTATTTGTATCAGAGCCACAGCACAAACACGCAGTTTCATGGTGAAAATAGTCTAAATTTCTTTCCCAAGCAATATCCCTTATTTGTACTTCCTGTCTGACGGATTGCAATGTCCCTCCCATATGGGTTAAGTGCAACCACTGAATTTGGATGAGTAATGACCAGCTGGGCTGAAATGTCTCCAGTAAAATGTTCCTCCACCACAAAGTATGAAACCTTTTTTGTTCTCTGGCTTTTAGTTCAGACTACAAAGCCTACAGATTCAAGAATGCACCCTATGTCTAAGCCAAAGGTTTGATCTACTGAAAGTTCATGCTTGCTTGGGAATGCAAACAGAGCACACTATCACCTGGAAGGGACTAATCACAGAAACAGGGTGACATGAATGAACAACACATCCCAAAAAAAACCCCAACTGAAATACAAAACATGATAAATTACCTGTACAAGACGAATCAGCATTCCTCTCAGTAACACTCTAGGTCCTAATTACATATAATGATCTTGCCAGGTAGCGAGTTACCCATCAGACCTACCAGCTCAGCACAAGAGGATAGATGCTTCTACCACAACCTGCAGGTCTCCCTGAGAAAAGTATGAAAAGCCAGTAACTACCCCAGGCAACTTAAAGTCTCAGTCTTGACTTCATTTCTCCCATTCAAAAAAAATAGGTTACAGCAATTTTCTTCACAAGCAGTCTTAGAGGGAGTCTGTGACCCCAGGGCAGACATTCTGAAAAACCTAAAGATAACTCCCAGATAGAGTAGCAGTGCTGCTGTGAGATATGTCTAACAGAACCCTTATTCCACACCACTGCCTGTACAACAGCATTTTAAAATCCAAACACCTGAAACACCTAAAAGACCCTGCTCTCCAAAACACCTTACTCTCCCAAATCATGAAGGATGGGACAAGACAAGCAGAACACATACCTTTCCTCCCCCATTCAGGGTCTGAGCAATGCACCTCTGAGTGTCCTCTGTGGAATGGATTCCATGGTCTTCAGTCTTGACCACTGGCATTTAACTGTATGCAGGCAAGCACTAATCTGAAATGTGGGAAGGGACCCAGAAATCTCTCCCCAAAGACAAACGCATGGAATTCAACCATGTTATCTACAAGAACCTGGAAACTTCCCAATAACAGGTTAGGACAGCCTTGACATATCTGATGCTTCAGCAAGAGCCCTGTGGGAATGACTCACACCAGCCTGTGTAGCTGTGCAGTTGGCAAGCATCCAACTTCCACACAGAAGATCAGGAGAGTCCCAAGAACTCAGTGTGACAGTGAGGAATGATTAACAACTTCAAAATCAGAGCACTTTTCCCTTTAACAAGGGTGGGAGAGAAGACCTATAAAGGTCAAGAAGCCAAAACACTCCTATCCTCTAGCTCTCCAGTTGTAACCTTCTGCCTCTCTCCTGGAAGAAGTGAAGAACCTTAAATCCTATACTCATGGGATGCAAGGAATCCTACATGCTTTCCAAACCACTAGCAAACACAGTTCCGTGCATCAGTGAGATTAACAAATTACTTTTCTACCAAACTAAGGCTGTAAACGTGAGTCACAAGATGACAGGATCAAGAAGTTCCTCCATGCTGCCACGCCACAGAAATTTATATAAAAGCGGACTCTCTACAGCATCCTCTGCCCAATCTCAGTTCAGCTGTAAATGTTCTACTGTCTATAGAATAGTTTCTGGTATTAAACTGCTATTGGAGGGGTGGGAGGAGGGAGGTTTGTATCACTTCATGTTTGTATCGCTGCAAGTTTGAAAGCTGATTAATCAACCTTCTCAAATTGGTCTCAGGGAAACAATCATTCTCTGTCATTATTTATTGATTTTTAAATTTGATTTAACATTTTATTACAGCCAAGACCTAGATTTTGAACTCAGCCTCTAACTGAAGCAACATACCTTCTCTTTCGGAAGGTGAAATGTAAAGATATCTTTCAGCTGAAAAGCAGCAAGATCTACTTTCACTTTGTGACTCCTCCCTCAGTTCTCCACTCTCTGTTTGCACAGCAGGATCAAATCAGGCTAACAGATTGTACTAGGGTCGCTACCAACCTTATCTTGTTAGTAATCCCACATATCTTTAAGAGGCAGGAACAACTTTGGAGAGTGTAATCATGAACAGCCCATGAGCTTAAGTGAGTGAGCTCTGGCATGGGCCTTTCAATTCATTGCATTTCCACCTGGGAGGTATAGAACATCTCTTTTTCTCAACTCCATGGACTTCCAAGTGAATTTCAACAGAGATGCAACTGCACAGGAAGCATCTGCTTTCCTCTCAGTGAGTGGTAGGTCTGCAAATCAACATTTTATATGCTGCTCCTACTTATTTAATCTAGCAGTTCTCATTATGTTTTCAAGAAAAAAAAGAATACAACTGGATTAAAAAAAAATAATAAAGGCTGTGAATTGTTTTTCCCCCTCACACAAATATGTACAAAGTCCTTGGATGTTCCCATAATTCTGTGGCCTTGTCTTTAAAGACATTAATATGTTTAAATACCTGTGAATTAGGATTCAATTACCAGGATCCCCCAGAGGTGTTTTTACTTTTTCTTCTTCATTATGCAAAGAACATGAAGAAAGATCAAGTTTTTTTATGAGCCCACCCACAAAGGCTTCAAATATGCTGACTCTTAATAACAGATTTGGAAAGGAGAACCTAGTCTTGGTGAATGTATTTTAATGTTTAAAAAAAAATTAAAGAGAAAATCATGAAAGAGGTCCTTTTACTCTGACAGAACAATCACAGGACAGGAATGAAAATAATGTGACTTCACAGTTTCCCAAAAACATCATTCCACTGAATTTCATCACCTATAAGGGTGTAGGGCAGATTTAACTATTGCTGCTGCCCTTTCTCTTAAAAAAAAACTAAAAAAAAAAAAAGTGGAAAAAGGAGACTTGCCACCTTCACTTTCTCCAGGCAGAAACACCAGCAATCACTCACTGCACCTCCCTGGTGTTGAAAAGACTGAGCTGGTTACCAGAATAATAATGCAAAAATCAACACGTGTAGACCCATAAGAGGCAGTTAATGCAATTATTAATAAATACAGTCATTCACTGAAACCATCCACTTACTTTGTTAATGCTCTAGAAATTTTAGGCCTCCTTGGAAATTATCTTTCATCCTCTGGGAATGGAGTCTCATGGTTGGCTTCAAAGATGCTGGCACAAAGCACAGACCTTTTGTTTAATTGCCGTCTTTTGAAGCAGAATATTAAGTCAGGTTAGACTGAGTATGAAAGGGAGAAGCAGTACTGGAGTTGATGGGAATGAAAGGCAGTACTACAAACCATATCTACACCCTTCTCCTCAGCTCTAATGGTATTAAGGGAAGCATACTTTCCCATCCAGATTCTGCAAAATGCTCCAGAGGGAAATAATGTTTTAGATAGAAAAAACACGATATTTTCCTGAGTAAATTTTATTTAATTTTATTTTTTAACAAACAATAATATCCACTGTATATCTGAAGCAGATAATCTCAGAAGTACTGGTGCTGGAATAGCTTCATTTGGCAGGACATATCTGATACTGAGTTAAACTAAGGCTGCCTGATAAAAAGCCCACTGGTAATGTTCCTAAAGAATCACAGTTTCTACACAGCAGATGCGTGAAAATAAGAGTAGACATATACTTCCATGGATACATGTAAGTAAATACATACAGAAATTCAGCACCAGCCACACCTCTGTGGACACTAGGGATTGGTTTGCCCCCAGGACTTAGGACTTTTCCAGCATGTTACAATTTATTATTTGCATTTGTCAAAAAGAAACTGCCAAAGTGAATAGCTTGAACTGTTTTCATTTGCTGATACAAATTATTACACAAACAAAAGAGAACAACTACTCAGAAGCTATGGGCAGGCAGTGAACTGCTTTACTCTTGACAAAGAAAACTTTACAGGGGGAAGAAAACCGGTCTCTTCTCCTTTTCCTGTGACAGCAAAATTTGCTACTCTTCTTACTGACATTCAAGGCATTGCTTATTTAAAGCTTCCAGAATTTAAATGAAACACTGCATTGGCTTTTAAGTAAGCAATCATAGATGCTACAAGCAATACATTTCTAGAGTGCAACGGGGTGGGTTGCTTAGTCATCTCTGTTGAGTGCCCCGAAAATCCTCTTTAAAAACACTGGCACTGGATTTTTATTTAGTATTTGAAATAATTATTTTCCTTTCCCTCGTGAAGTCCTCGCATCAAGTTGGCTGAGATCTGATGAGGAAAGGGTCAAAACCTTGTCCCTTACTTTTGGCCCTGGGAAGTGCATGTCATTCCCATGCAGGAGATAAACCGTGGTCCTAAAACAGATGTGCAGCCTGGATTTAGGCAGTTGATAATGAGTCATTACATGTAACACACAGCGAAATACAGAGGCCATGTGGATCCAAACCTCTGTGTGCTTCTAAGACAAATGCTTTCTTGGGCTAATACAGAAATGTACACTCTTCCCTGCCACGGCAGACAGGGAATTCTCCAGGCAGGCGTAGATCCATACCATACTGTAAATTATGGTCTGCTATAAATGAAAAATGCTGATTTGGGGATTGTTCACTTTGTTATAATTTTCCAAGAGTAATATCCTGCAGGGAACGGCCAAGTTAATACAATGTTTCCACTCAAAAATTGGCAGTGCAAGCACAGCCGATGGGGTATATTTAATGAGAGTTTGCCTGCTGATAAAATGTTATTACAGAACGTGCAGGCTAAGGAGAGCCTCATATTTTCCATCCTGGATGAAATGCTAGTCTAGCAAAACCCAGTAACTAGCAATAGTTCTCTGGACTTGTAATACAATGTATAGTCTTACTCTGTTTTAGACACGTTCTGTAACTCATAAGAGCTTTCAGCCATCAGAAGTGCACAGATGCCTTTTTGTCTCGTTTATTCTCAAAGGGAGAGGCTTTGGATCTGCCACGGATACGATGCATACCGGTTCTTTTCACACTTGGCTCTGATGTGCCACACAAAGTGTAACTTTTGAGTGTAACTTACAGAGCTAATCACCTCCAACACGACTATTTGCTCATCTTTCCTGAACCTACTCCGTATTTTCCTCAAACTTCCTAATTTTGGCACAGGGAGCGAATGATTTGCAGCGAAATGTGAAACTACAGTAATGTACAAAACAAAATCTGGGATTGAGCAACTGAACTGAAAAAAATCCTAAGTGTCAAAAAGCCCCCGCTGCTCTGTTGTGAGCACGGCACGAAGGTAACAGATGTGTCCAGCCCTGAAACCATCCTCTCTGCTCCTCTCTCTGCCCTATGCCTACAGCGCTCAGCACTCCTTTTGCATCCATCAGCTTACATAAAGCTCACAAGCTGCTGAAGTCTGAAACTCATGGAAACATAACACGGGGAAAACTCCATTTCACGCTACATCTCTGTGATCAGCATCACGCACAGATGAAGTTTCAACTTCTGCATCCGTTGCCAAATGACAGATCAGTGTGTGAACACTGAGGGCTTGAAGGAAGAAGCCAAGTACCACAAGAGCCCCTTGGGCTGGGCACAGAAGGTCGCACAAACACACACCAACAAATGTTACAGGTCTCCCCCAGGGAACGTGGGGGAGCGCTGAACATGATGAGAATTGCACGGAGTAACAGTTTCGCCCCAATTTGTACAATATCATTTTGCTGCATAACTGTTTTACATCCAGCATTGTGCAGAGGAGGAAAGAAACTCCCAAACGCTGCCTCGAGATCACAGGCCAAGTGCTTGCTAGAGCTACTAAAAAACATGTGCCTGTGTTAGCATGTGCGTGTAACTCCACAGCTCTTTTCTCCACCCCCATACACAGCGCAGGGAAACTGCTAATGCTTAAATGGTGGGGAAGGTCAGAGATTTATTGTGGGAAAGCCAACAGTAATTTTGCTGCCTCTCTAGAATATTGCAAACAGCCAGATTGCACAGCTTAAGCAGAAAAATAAAAGTTACGCTTTAATTTCAGACTTTAAAGAAACTGTAGGTTTACTGGTCACAGAATCCACCACCCGAGGGTACAGACCCACTGTATATTTCCATAAATTGAGGGCAGCAAGTTATTCCCTCATAATTAGAGCTCCTCCTACATAACGTGACAAGAAACTTTCCAAAGGTACAGCTGGAATGTCAGAAAACTCCTTGCTTACAGGCCTGCAAGAGCCCAAAATCCCTGCCTTTCACAAGGATTTCTCCAACTTTCCTTGTGCTCCTCTGCAAGAAGAGGCATGGAAACACTTTGGCAAGAGGCAGAAAGGTGTCGTGGAAATACTGTGGAAAGCACCGTGCTCAATCTGGAAGCATGATTTCCTTTAACACCGTGAAGATGAACTAAGAGAAGTTTGCTCTCTCCCCAGGTGCCCATTTGCTTCTGGTCACACACACGACTTCGGGGAACACCATGTGCTGCAACTGCGAAGTGTCCCAAAGAGCAGACATAACCAAAGGCTTATCCAGTCTCTGGGCTGCAGGATAGCATTTTGAAAGATGTTATCTGACCCCCCAGGCCGATCCCAGGCTCAGTCTTCGCTTTTGGGAATACATTTTTCCACGGAAGAAAGCTGCTAGTGGGAAAGACCCTCTGTGCTCAGGAGCGGCTGCATATTGCAACACCCTCGTTTGGCAGAGGAGGCTGCAGTGTTCCTGCAGCTGTCCTGGGTAGCAGCCAGGGGCTCTCGCCGAAGGTGCTTCATCTCGTGTCCAAGTCTTTTATGAGTCCCAGACTTGCACAAGAGGACTGATGCCAAGTTCAGTCTGTTCTTGGTTTTACCAGCTGCCTTTTTAAATTAAATTATCCCAATTCATAATGGGATGAGAAACTATGAATAACAAGGGGAAAAGCTTCACTTGATTTTGTTCAGGTTCCTCGATGTTTAGCTGGGGATGTTCACTGCATAGCCCAAGGCTTCAGTCAGTGCCAGTGGCTGATGCAGGCTTTTCTCTGGTAGGAGAGGAGGCTAAAAGCATTAAAGTGCCGATCCCATGTTAAAAGCATGGAGCATCTATGTCCCACGTTAAAATAATGCTAAGTGACATAAAAAGTGAGCATCTCTATGTACTTCATCCCAAAGCTTCCAGTAATTTGTTCCATTACCAAACTTCAAATCATTCATTTTTTCAATCAGTTGCATTTTAGACCTCTGTGCACTACTTTTTCATTTGTTGCAGATATGCAGAAACCAAGTACTTTGTGATTTTTGCTCTCTCCGCCCTTAAGTACACTAACAAAACATGGGGCAACACCCAATGTCAAGACCTCCCCAACTTTACTTTTGACCTCACCACAAGTAGACCTCTTGGGGACTGCGCTAACCAATGAAAATCTTCATTTCTATGTAGGGCCCCAGGCCTGAGGGATCTTCTCTTGCATCATATAAAATTTCTCATCCAACTGGCAACTTCTTGGCATGATGATTGCAAAAGCAGATGAACAAGCATTCACCAAATTTGAGAAGAAATCCTGTGGATGGTACATGAAGCAGCTGGGTTTGAACGGCACGTGCCCTGTCCAAACAGCTCGATCTTCACCCGTGAGGGTAATGGAGCAAACAAACTAGGCCACTAGTGAAACGTTTTGTAAAAATCACTGGAAAAATAAAAAAATTCAATTGCTGGCCTCACACAGTACCATCGATACACGACAGAAAGCAAGCACTTGGTTTCAAAGGGGTCATTAAGCCTTAAACTATCCACTTAACAGGAATGCCAGTAGCAATACGGGTCAAGTCAATGTTTGTGCATGATTACACTTCAAATTTAAATGTGGAGCTGTTGTACATAACAGGATCTGTGGAGACTTGTTTCTCTTTCTAATGGATTTAAACTGCCAATAAAATGGAGCCCAGGACAAAGGTACAAAACAGGCTTGAAGAACAAATATGCATGAAGTTATCATTTTGCATTGCCTGTCCAATGCACACAATTTAAAAGAAAATATTCAATTAAAAATAAATAAAACCTGTGGGGAAGGACCACCTTTTGAATCAGATCATAGAATGGACAGTCATCATATGGTGCTTTTCTCCACTCTTCCCACCTATGAGATCCTTTTCCTTCCTATGAAGCTTTGTCCAGAGGCACAAATCAGCTCTGAGAATGCTCAGCCAACTGAAAACTTTTAGTGAGGGCAACAGGCAAGTGGTTGGGCTCCTCAGAAATCATGTTAGATCTGCAAAGCAGCTATTGTCCTGAGATTTTGCCAATGGACCAAGCTCTCTCTCAATGAAAATAAGTTATGCACTTCTTAGGCCTCTAAGGTACCAAATGCTATAGAAAAAGAAAATAAGAATGGAGATGTAAATATCCCACTTGTTATCCTGGCATGCTGCAGAAAGTAGTATCACTAAAAAAACACCCAAAGCCCAGCCAAAAAAACAAAAACGAA